GCGAGCACATCAGACTCGTTCCTACACGTGCATCAAAACCCACCCTCGACTGCTCTGATTCACGAAGGGAATTGCTTTTCCAAACTTTGTGTTTCCCTCTCACGTATGCGCATAGCCTGTTTTGTCCATATAAATCCTACGGAGACCTTTGAGGCATGTTGTATCCCTGCTTATGAGCACAGTCTTTCCATGAGCAGTTTTCTCTGGGTTTTCTTCGTCTGTTTCATGGATTTGTTCTATCAATTTCTTTTTTTTTAAGTATTTTTTATTTAATGTCTACTGGTGTAAGTGTGATATTCTCAGAAAACTGAGCAAATATTTTTTAATCTATGGGATAGACCATTTTAAAGCAGAGCGTACAACTACAGTGTGCTCTGAAGTTCTGCTGGTTGTGCAACCATCAAGCATCACTTGCACAAGGTGTAACTAAGACCAAGCAACTGCCCAACAGATGGCAAGGAAGTAAATGCTGAGTAAGGAGAATTCTTGCTCCCCCCCCACCCAAAAAGACAAAAGTACCCTTTCCCCTCAGACTGTGACACAGGACAGGCGCAGCCGTACATCACCACCAACGCACAGCCCATCTTGCGTGTGCTAAAGCCGTTAACACCCATCTCCTCCGTAGTCAGAGTGTGTGACAACACAGGAAATCAGAAGTCAGGTAAATAATCCAGAGGACTCTCTAAAAATAAACCCAAGCCCTAAGTTTCTGTGACAGGTAGTAGCAGGTAGACAGAGTTCCCTTTGCGATAGCAGCTGTATCACAGGGGTCACGCAGCCCACGAGTGGGCACCGTCAGAGGGCTCCTTTCAGTTCTGTACCTCACCGAAAACACACGCAGCAGTGAAGCAGAAGAGAAAATTAAATTTAGAAGAAAGCCAGACCAGCAGCACAAGTTGATACTGAAGAATGCCGTAGTGCACAGCTCTTACTCCAGGTGGAAACAGAAGCTGCGCTGTTGAGGTTTCTACATAATCATTAAGGTATCATCACAGTGGGTACGAGCATTTGGATTTTTACTTTACACAAAAATGTAAGATTATGTATAAACATCCAAAGCTTACCTGTTCTTCCAGCACATTGTGCTACCAGAACTACAAGGACCTTATTGTTCCCTTCAGCTGCGGGGCAAGAGTCCAACCCACTCATGGGATACGTTCTGTCCAGGGGAAGCCACACAGCCCAGTGTGCGGCAACGGCAAGAGGGACTGATCTTTTGGCTCAGCTGGCACAGAAACAGCGATCCACAGCTTCCTTATGAAAGTCAGCCTCTGAGCCTGGAAAGCTTCAGTTTATCTGAGATCGAGGAAACTTATGGAAAAAAACCCCAACTTTAACGAGGCCTGGCATTAGAAGACGTCAGTGTATTTTCTGCCTACGTACCTAACCATTATCTGAGTATTTGTCACAAAACCAAACGCAAGAATCAGTAACAGTTTCAGAATTTTTGTTTGCCTTGTGTTGGACCTTGGTCACAGGTATGCTGCGGCCCTGGTCAGTTATCCAGTGTTAACCCCCTTATTAAGCCCGATTCACTCACAACATTGCATCAGGTTTAGTTTGGTGCCCCTCCAGTAGCGTTATTCTCATCCAAACCAGAATAGCAGCAGTGGGAACTGGGCTTTTTCTCACCAGTCAATTCCTTAAAGACCATTTCTTCCCAGTAAAAGCCAAGCCCATGATTAAAACTGCCAGAGTCTTCCTATACTCAGACCTAGGGCTATAGTTCTTTCCAGGTTTGGCTTCCTAGCTGTCCACCTGCTCTACTTCCCTTCACCGAGCAAAGTTGACGTTGAAAAATGAACTGCTCGCATCACCAGAGACTTCGCTTTCGTCTACCTGCGCTGTGCCCCGCTTTCGGTCGCCAGCAGCCGCCCACGACAGGAACAAACGCTCTACAGGCAGCCCAACTCGCTTGTCCCGAGCCATGGAAAACTTCACGCATGCCAACGCCAGCGCGTCTGCAGGATGTTCGCGCCGTGGTCTGGTCATGACAGCCACAGCCCTGGCGAAGCAACAGCCACAGTTTGCCTACGCAGCTTAAAGCCGGGAGATACAAATTATCGGGATATATTTCTGCAGAAGTGGCTCGTGTTAGTCCCTCTTGTCCTTTCCTTCAATTATTTTATTATTTTAATTGGTTGGCATTTGTATTTTGTCACAAAACTGGGAAAGTTAATAGACACTATCTACTGAATGCCCATGTTTCCAGCAAAATAAGAGAGTCAAAGTCTACCACTAATTCAGATTAATACACGTTTGTGAGTACTGGTTAGGAAAATGCACGGCTTACGTTCGCATTTACCTCCCACGACGCAGGCACGCACACTAAAACATCACTTCTGCCATACAACTGAAAGGACCGTAAATAGCTTTGCACTAGCAATATTCCCCATCCCTCAAATCGTCTCCTGTACACAAGTATTTCATAGAGTCACAGGATGGTTCGGGTTGGAAGGGACCTTAAAGACCATCTAGTTCCACCCCCCCTGCCATGGGCAGGGACCCCTTCCACTAGACCAGGTTGCTCAGAGCCTCATCCAGCCTGGCCTTGAACACTTCCAGGGATGGGGCATCCACAGCTTCTCTGGGCAAACCTTTGAGACAAACACAGACTGTTACGCAGATACAAGTAGGTTGGGTTGAAGCAGGCACAGCCAAGGGCTGCCATCCTCCTGGGTAACCCACTGATTCCCATGATGGCTGTTGGCCTCCACCCAGTCCAGCAAAGGCAGGTTTCCTGCAGTTTCACCTGCACGTTGCTTTAACCACCAGTGAGTGTTTCTGTTCTCAAATCAAAGGCACTTACAGTCACCTGGTACATAGATGCTTTATTTCTGACATTAATATGGTCTGTGTATGTGAGATTCTCTTACATAAAAGTTTGTAGTACAACAAAAACTAAGATAAACAAGGCGTTTGTTGCACATTATGTCAAACCTTAAAACAAAAATACGGAGTAATATGTATTTAGGTTTCATGCAAGTTTGGCTGCTGCATGTACAATCTATTTATAAACTGAAAGAAATGCAAATGCACACAACATTCAAAAAGTAATAGAAGATGCCTGACATATGAAAGAATAAAACCTTCCTGCTAAAGCAACAAAGTAGGAGTTAACTAAACGATCCAACCAATACCCACACAAATTAATACTACTTACCTTAAATCTATGCTTAAAACTTGGTAGAGGCAGTTTTGGTGACACTGCTTCTACTGAGATGTGTCATCCAGATTCTAGATGTTCATTCTCTCTCAACGTCTTATTTCATTTTTTGGTGAATTAAGCGCTGTCTCCAGCGCTGAATGTTGCTGTTAAATCCATTCTGGCAATACACACCTAAATCTAGTACTGCCAAGGACTCCAATTGCCTCCTATCAGTTTTCATAGGTGAGGGGAATCCCGGCACGATGGGTACTTTTCCGATCCCCTTGCTTATATAGGATTCCCCCTTGCTAAAATTTTGATGTGAATTAAAAACTGCTAAAAATGTTTATGCCTAGTACCGTCATAGCCAGGCAAATGTTTAATATCAAAAAGCTTCTAAAAATAAGGATTGTATAAGCTTTGAGATGTTTTAAAAAGTTCAATAACCCATTACCTTCCTTGTGCCACTCATGACATGTTAAAATTCTCCATGCATAAATTATTCTCCACCATCTTCGATACTGAAGTGATAGGAATACTTTTTCCACACCCTGCATAGTACTGGTTGATCTCATAAAGTTAACTAGAGAACCTGACATCGTTTTTTGTAATTTTACATACAGTGCATATGATGCTCGCTCTTTCCATCTCTCATAGCAGCAAGCCGATCCTGCCACTCTCTGTAGCAGCACACCCGGGAGTGGAGAGGAAGAGTGTTCGAATCATAAATAACTAACGCTACAGTGTACGAGTCTATTTACCTGTCAGTATCTGTTGATAGCACACCACTGTAACTTGCTAAAAACTAACTACATAAAAATCTCTACACCAAAAGTGAACCGAAACATTCCTTCAAAAAAAACCCAACAAAAAAAAGAGGAGACATAAAATAAGTGCAAATACCTAAAATAGGCAACTAAAGCAACTGTTGTGACCTGTATATCTTTAAATAAGGACAAAGATTTTTCATAAATAAAAGAATGTTCTCTTTGCTCTTCAAATATTTAGTAAGTACATAACAGTCAAACTTAAGTGCAGATAAAATTGTTTTGAGATCCAAGGTGCCAAGTTTCTTTTTTTTAAAAGAAAAAAAAAATTAAAATGCATTTTTTTTTTTAGTTCCTATGCAGGACTAAGTTCTCCTGGGTCACATAAAAGACCCTGCCATTCCTTTCCAAATGTGTTTAAACAAGGTCCAGGAACAGCTGCTGTGTAATACAGGTAATAGGTTGTAATTATTCTGTAGACCAACATGATTTAAGGGCTATAGTGCAATCTTTACCTAGATGTAACACACAGTACAGATTTGTACACCTCACTACTGTTACTCTTGTGCTATTCCATGCTTTAAACTTGTCCTTTTTTCATTTTAGCTGTTTTAACAGGAAACAACGTTGGCTTCTAGACAACCTGCATACATATAAATATCTACATTTAAGCATTAAAATGAAAATAAATTATAAAACCAGACTCCTTTCCCATTTACAAATTTTTCCCTGTTCCTACATACTGTACAATACATTCAACAATCATCTCATTTTGAGATTTATGAAGAAAATACTGATGCTTTACACTAAAACCTAATTCACCCCCCCTCTGCCTACTTCTAGTACCATTTGCAAATAAATATATTTAACACTGTAGTTCATTTCATTGTTTTGCAGCATACCAAAAAAATTAGTAGTGCAACTTTCTATCCTTCCTTTATACTCCTTTCCATTGTGTTTCTTTGTATACTAGAAAAATGCTACATAAGCAAAAGCACATTCTGTCACGTACGTTGCTCATTTGGAAACCGGTAACAACCTATAAACCTACTCTATCTTGAAAATGCACTTAGAGAAAAAAAGCAATGCAAGTCAAAAGAATAAATATGAAAACTGGACCTAAAATCTGAATGTTGTCAGTACTGCAATGTACTTTACCACTTTTTGTCATATTTTGAGGTGTTACTTTTTTAATATTTAAGAAATTCATTGCAGAACTGTTTGTACTATCCCTTCGTAGAGAATACGAGAGCTTTCTGTCTGTTCTTTGTCAGTCAAAAGAAGAAAGGAGTCTTTAAGGTAGCTTTAAGGTTTCCCTTGGCAGTCTGTCTCTAAGTAAAGACTTAATTCCCACGTATTGTGCTGGCATAGCCTTCAGCATTGTGTCAGCATCAATGGAAGGAGACGGTTGTCAGCTGCAGTGACCATCACAGTATGAGAGCCCTTGAAGTGCTGTTGGTGGCCGTGTATGTGCCCAGATACCTTCTCGCCTTTTCCGTCATGAGAAGCTGGTCTTCTGTCTTTCCGTAAACAACTGCTTCCCATTCACAATTTGACTGCATAAAATAAAATTCAGTTAAAAAGATTCTTTCCACTCACTACAGTAGTTAAGCAATCCTCATACGACCTTTGAGAGTTGTAATAAATGATCAAAGCCCAGCAATACTGTATTTCACTGCGAAGGATTCAGTTCTACAATACCTAAAACCTGGGACAAAGCTCCCTCTCCACCCCTTAATCCAGCCCCCCAGCAGCGCATCTGTGTTACACTCTTAAGTTCTAACAAACAAAATGAAAAACACTCTTAAAAAGAGTAGTTCAACGACTGATACGAAAAAGGGAAGTTAATTAAGTCATCTTCTCTTTGGCTATCTTCCCCTTTAGCTGTGCTGTGTTCAACAGGCAGAAAAACAGATTATTGACAGCTGTCTGGAGACGCCACGGAAGGCAAAATGGTTTGGCAGCTGAAAAAGAATACTGGGAAGGACTTCCCTGAACCAAAGGGGCAGCAGTGGAAGAACAGTCAGCTGGTTTTGGAGCATATTAGAAATGGCAAAGGAATCGAGAATAAAAACAATGAATGGAAGAATAATTGAGCTACTAGTCCTGCTTCTTCCATGAAGCAAACCCTGCATATTTACAAGACTTACTGAATTTCAAGCTGATTTGTAGCGGTTCTAAATTGGACCTGGCACTAGCAGACTATAGCACAATGAGGAACTCAAGATTCTCTCCCTCCCACACTGAGCTGGAAACCGATCCATAGGATCAGTTCCACATATGGATGCACAGAGAAAATCAGCCATTTGAGTTTCTCTGTAAATTTAGCAGGACTTGATTCATGGAAGGGACTCGTGGTTAGAGAGGCCACCAAACTGAGAGGGAATTTATTTCTCAGGGGAAAGAGGAAAAGGAGAAAGATTGTTCAATGAGAGCATTGGTGAGTACAGTATGACTAAGCTCCCCGTTAAGCGTGTTCTGGGCCAGACAGATGTATCCACCCTTGCTGCAAATCACAGCAGTTAATTCTATTTTTTGTTTTTTTTTTTAATATCACAATTAGATGAGGTTTGTTCATACTGTCGTCTCTGTACTTCAAAACACATCGTCGTTAGAGCAATTAAGTGGGCCATGGAAGATCAGGCTCCAGGTGCCCTGCCTTTCTTTCTGTAATTAATACAGAGCTGTAGATAGTCTGAGAAGACACAAAAACTTTATACATTAACTTCACACGTTAACTGCCCAAGGGGCAAACTGGAACAGGAACCAAGTCAGGCCAAAGAGAATCTCTCTCTAACCCTGTTGGTCAAGACACACACAGAGGAAAAACCAGGTTCCATGGTTTTAACAGCATACGGATATACAAGATCTATGGACGTACAAGGACATGCACGTTCAATGACCAAACAGACCTCTGCTTAATGAATCCCACTGGGCTTATTATGAAGTAAGCACCAGCCAAATTTGAGAAACTTAGGTGGTTTAGAGGTTTAGTTTTCCCCGAGCCGAGCTTTCTTACTGCTAGACTTGGGCACCCAAACCCGTTTGGTCTACCCTACCCCGACTTTTTTCCCCACATTTCAATCTCAGATGCCACTCAGTGAATCATCAGGGTTGTATATAAAGAACTTAGCTATGAATAAACACTTCATGGACAAACGACCAGCTTACAAGGAATAAGGATCATGGAACCACTACCGAAACTAAATCACTGAATCAAACAATTCCAGACACCAGCACAAGACAGAAACCAAAAAGAAAGTCTTTCTTAACCTGCTAAGAAAGCTAACAGAATTCTTTGTATCCAGACCTGAAGATCTTTCTCCGTTTTGATATTTTTTGAAGCACATGCATTCAGTTTCTTCTTAATTACTGCATTTCCTTGGTTTGCTGGATTTGTGTCCTGTTTTTCTGATGGCAGGTTACATCTGTTGTCATTTATTTCCAACAATGGCATCATTCCTAAAGGTGTGGTATATGCGTTTTCTGACTATTGACAAAAAAGAGGGTAGGGAACAGGAATAATAATTAGTATTTAATTTAAAAAAAAAAAAGTCTTCAGCTGCTGTGAACAAGAGAAGCCAAAATGTAAACAAAGCAAATACTAATCAGAAAGACCCTAGGAAAGAATCTGAAAAGTAATGAACAATATATGAAGTACTAGCCGGGTCTATGCTGGGGTGCACAGTCAATACTGAGCACAGTCAAACAAGTAGCTGCACGCACGATTTGGGCATTATCGAGTAGACAGTTTCTTTCACACAAAGCCACGCCACAGCTGATTACATTTTATTAAGAATGAGGCTTGATAAAGTGGAAAGTACAGAACAGTTTCAAAGCACAAAGCTTGTAATTCACTTCTAGTACAACCCTTGTGAAAGTAGCACATGGAGGCTGGAATAAAAAAAAAATTAAGAACAGTATCAGGGGAAGGAACTGCCTTAAGAACTGAAATAAGCACTGGATTGATCATTCCTTAAGAGTTTTATATGATGTTGTTTATGGAAATAAAAATAAATGAATCCAGCAAAACCTACAGCAAAGCAGAAGAAAGAATATGGCATGTTTAAAGAGTGAAGTTAGATGAGAGCAACAGTGGCATATGCACTTGTTCACTTACAAAAACACCCCATTAAACCGTGTTAAACTACCTTCACATATTTGTTCAACCTCAGACCTTACCCCTAACTTGTTGCCACATGGACACACAATTTCTGCTGAAGGACTGGTACATTTTTCCTGTTTGAGTCAGCTACTACCACTGTGTCTTGCTAAGAGCAAATGTTCCTGTTGCACTAGCATCCCTCATTAAAATTCAGGAAAAGCAATTTTTCCCTAGTCCCCTGTCTTTAACACACCACAACATCATAGGTTTTACCTTAACGACCTGACACACAATATACCGTGTCATAACAAGAAATCACCAGAAGAACACCAGGAATTTTCTTTCTGGTTTGAATGGCTGCAGCAATGCTGCTCCTCCCAAGACAGGGATGTTCCACAGCGTCCAGCTGTGGAACCCACAACATCAGAAGGACATAGACCAGTTGGAGCGAGCCCAGAGGAGGCCACAAAGATGCTCAGAGGGCTGGAGCACCTCTGCTATGGGGACAGGCTGAGAGAGTTGGCTTGTTCAGCCTGGAGAAGTAAAGGCTCCGGGGAGACCTTATAGCCCCTTCCAGTACCTGAAGGGGCTACAAGGAAGCGGGGGGGGACTTTTTACAAGGGCCTGTAGGGACAGGACAAGGGGTAACGGGTTTAAATTGAAAGTGGGGAGGTTTAGATTAGATATCCGGAAGAAATTCTTCATGGAGAGGGTGGTGAGGCACTGGAACAGGTTGCCCAGAGAAGCTGTGGATGCCCCATCCCTGGAAGTGTTCAAGGCCAGGCTGGATGAGGCTTTGAGCAACCTGGTCTAGTGGAAGGTGTCCCTGCCCATGGCAGGGGGGTTGGAACTAGATGGTCTTTAAGGTCCCTTCCAACCCAAACCGTTCTATGATTCTGTGATTCTTGGGGAAGCAGGGAGTTTTCCCCTAGGTGGCAGGGCAGCCAAGCTCCAGCAGACAGACACCTGGGCTTGGCACGGAGTCTAAGAGGCATTTAAGAAGGGAATTTAGAAAACCAGCTACAATAATCAGAAAGGGGTATGACTTAAGCACCTGTTCTTTTTAGGGACTTTGGCTCCTCCCTCGTGAATATAGCTTTACCTGATCAAGAGTCACAGACATTTGGTCTTTCAGAATTACATACATACATACATAAATTTAAGAACTAGATTAGAATGAAGTTTTCCTGCAACCTACAAGACTAAAGAAAAATATGGAGCTATTTCTTAAAGGAACGAGGGACCAAAACAGCCCCATCTCTAAACTCTCGATATCTTGGTTGTTGAGGCAGAAGTGTTTAAATGCCTCGTGTAGAAGAAGCCCACAAACCTCATCATGGGTTGTTTAGCCTGAAGAAGAGGAGGCTGAGGGGAGACCTGATCGCTCTCTACAGCTACCAGAAATGTTGTAGGGAGGCAGGGGCTTGCCTGTTCTCCTGGGTAACTGGTGATAGGACAAGAGGAAAAGGGCTCCGTAGATTGGATATTAGGAAAAACTACTGAAAGAGTGGTCAGGCATTGGGACAGGCTGCCCAGGGAATGGTGGAGTCACCATCCCTGGAGGTGTTGGAGGAACATGTAGATGTGTCACTTGAGGACATGATCTAGTGGGTATGGTAGTGTTGGGTTGATGGTTGGACTGGATGATCTTACAGGTCTTTTCCAGCCTTAGTGATTCTGTGATCTACATGCTTGGTAGTCTATGAAGTACTCCCCTACTACGTGAAGTGGGAAAAGGAAAAGTGTGCTGCCTGACATGTAGTCAGGTATCTTCAGAACAGGTCTGCCAGACTGTCAAGCATGCAAAACACAAAGGCAAATGCCATCTTCCTGGTGTATTAGAGCGCTTCAGTGTGCCATATGCGCTAAAGTTTATAGGTACCCAGGACAGAAGCAGGCTTGCTGTAACAGCAAATCTGCAAAGCATCTACATTACTTTACCAGTCCTGCTCTGAAGGCCTGAAAGGAAAAATTCATGTATGAATTCAAAGTTCAAGAATTGCTCAAGTACTTAAAGTATATTTCAAATTAAGGTGACTTTCCCATTCTAGATTTATGAATCCAGCCTCAACCCAAACACTTTATTTTAGTTGATAGAATTAAAGATACTCAGTTCTAGATTAATATTGCTGCTGGTGATGCTCTTCAGTGGTTTAATACTTACCTGTACATCTAGACCATTATCTTCTGTTAAGACCTGGGCACCAACCTCTTCTTTTTCCCATGGATCTAGGACCAGTGATTTTCTGACTTTTTTAGGCGAGTTGGGCTGCAATAAACATTTTGCAGAGAAAAACTGTAAAATATTGTCTAAAAGCAGTTATTACCCATTTGAAATTATTATTGTAATGTTACCTCCTGCTTGCAGCTTTTGTACACAGTGTCATCTTCCTCCTTGATAAATATATCTGTTCCAGTTTCTTCTTTCAAAACTTCCCTAATGTCTTCCTCCAAGAAGGCAAGTGGTTGCGACTAAGTTAATTAAAATTGGAGGAGAAAATACAGGAAATTTATTAGTTGCTAGGTTTTACCATATTCTACTTTCAGCTAATGTAGGCCAGAAAAGAGACCTTGCAAAAGACAGCAACAGATTAAAGGATTTAGGCTACTGTAGTTAACAACTACAGATCAGCATTTCAAGGCTATGCAGATTTTTTAATTCATTTTAATCCACATTATTTCTGCCAAGATAAAACATACACATGCACACAGTGCCTCACAAAATGCAAGGTAGCATTGAAGACGACGCACAAACTACTTGTTTGCATTTATTAGCAAATGGTTATCCACTGACAAAAGGGGTAAAAATACTTTATATATACTAAACACATACATAAAGACACGCATACAAACATACTAAAAAAACGTACTCTAAAAGTGTGACTGTCATTGGGAAAGGAGTTTATATCAATCTTAACAGAAATCCTTGAATAAGACATATAGTCCTAAGTACAGTACAGAACCTCACAGAAGCCATACAGATGGCTCCTTTGTGTACCAACAGGAGAAGAATTCTCTTAAGTCCTCAAAATTTGATTTTGAACAGGAGGTTAATAGTGGACAGAAACAGGAATGCCAAAACACTCCATGAGACTGTGAATCTATAGGGTAACACAGATGGTGCCAAGCCCTGTGGCAAAGTCTGAGCTACCTTCTGTGTTTGCAGAAAAGAAGCAGTCAATATATATTGGCTGGAATTTTTTCAGAACTTGAAAAGCACATGTCTACTGAATTCCAAAAGTTAGTGTGCATTAGCATACCTTAGCTAGGCTAGGAAGAGAGCAAAAATTGAATTCATTTGGAACAAACAAATGAAAAAGTAACATCTGTAGTCAACCAATAAAAAAGTCCTCTGTGACAGCCAGAAGAATCAGAGGAATCATGAATCCCTATATTAAGGTTTTGTTTTTGAGGATGAAGAAAATTGTAGGCACCACTCAAGTAAGACCCTAGGAAGGGTGAAACACTTCCAAACACATTCCCATCAAAAGAATTCCCCAAATACTAGCATGCTGTGGTAAACATCTAGTTTCCATCCTAGCACTGTAGAATAACCAAAACCAAAAAACAACTCGGCTCCTAACATAGTCCAGAGGATTCAAAGAAAATGCAGTTTTTCAAGTCAAATGTGAAATTTGCTTAAAATAATGAAGTCAGTGACATTTATCTGCATTGGTTTGCCTTTACTAGATTATCCACTTGGAGGACCCACACCCATGCACTCAATTACAATTTTTCTTTAAAAAAAAAAGAAAGAGTGCTAAAGTATTAAAATCTTGGACTATGATGTTACCACCTTATAACAGGTACAGTGTCAGCAAGGCTACTCAGATTTGAAGCGACTCACAATCACAGAACAAACGTGTTTAAGATTACTATGGATCAAATGAGTGTACGTACTGAATGCCATTCAAATAAAGACAAGACTTCCATACTACACTGAAGGGTACTAGTCTAATATACCCCATCCGACATATTTTTGATTCACATTCCAGCTGTTCTCTAGGCTAATAAGGAATGTCACAGAAACAGCAGCATTGTTAGAAAATGCTGTCTAAGATCATGCTAAGTCTTACAATATCTGGAAAACAAGAGGGCATTTAGACTTCAACAGAGAAGAAAATAAACAATGTCATCACATACCGTAAGTTTCAGGGGACCATACTTTTTTTCCTGAGCAGCCAAAGCATTTTTAAAAGGAGTTGGTGTCCTTGGGGTTGAAGAACCCAAAAGAGATCTTCTAATTGTGGGAGTTCTGTAACTATTCAAGCATAGACAAGTGTTCATACATGCATTTTAATATTTTGCTTTATCAACAGTAATGTAATAAAATGAATCTAAGAAACATTTTTAAATACTTTAATTTACACAACAGACCTCGCCACCATGAACCTGAAAGTATTAAGATCACCACAGCATTACCCCAGGTATTTTGTTCAGTATTTTAAAAAAGAAAAAACTTTGTCTGAGTACAAGTCACCTTCTTCTAAGTTAAAAACAAGAAGCCAGTTTGTTTATACACAAGTGTTAAAGTGTTAGGGGTTTTAAAACTTATTCACAGAAATGCATAAAAGGTAGACTAATTTCTCAATATTTAGAAAAACTTGGTCTTATTTGAGCAACACCACCGGATACTTAATGTAATAACCCTACCCCACATTTTCCTTTTGATCTTTTGGTGTCACTTCCTTGTGTAGAGGAGTCGTAATAAGAACTTTCTGCCCGCAGATTGGAGTCGATGTAAATGCAGGATTTTCAAGGTTAAATTGTTCATTTCCAGAGCAAGTGTTGAAAAACTAAGCACAAGAGAGAAACAAAAACTGAGCAACCTTAAAGGACAAAACTTTACCGCTGTACTGAGCAGTAAAGAAAAAAAAAGTATGTATCTGAAGGGATTTTACTGACAAATCCCAATAAACTTAACTTGATTTATACTCCAAGACATTGGTGATATTTATGCCTGAAACCTTGATTTTCTCCTTAAAATCCCTACTGCTTAATTAGGTCACAGAGACAATAGGTCTCTATCAACAATTATTTGCATGAGAAAGCATGAGCTGAGACATGTCGCCACCCCTCCCCCCCCTCCCCCGCTAGACTTCAAAACAGAGGAAATAGGTTACTTAATAATTTTTTTAAATATATTTACCCCTATGCAGATGTTTTAAAAAGTTTTTGGACATATTTGTTTAGGCTGCAATGTACGACTAGGGAAGAAAGTACTTACAATTCATAATCCACCCACTGCAGTCTTTGTGTTTAGCCATATTTAAAAGTCAACTCACCTGCGAGGGAGAAAATGGTAGTGTTTTCACTGGTGTATGCTTTAGTGCAACATTGATGGCATCGTTACACAAGCCATCATTCAGTTCGTTAACTGGTGATTGCCCAACACGCAACCTCTTCTTCTTTCTTAGGATAGTCGGCGGAGTGCTGAATTTAGGTAAGCTTGGGGTCGCTGAGAAAACTGCTTCTTCCTCGCCACTGATGCTACTGTGTTTTTTGCCATCAAGCACAACGCTGACATTATACTGGCACTCAGCAGCCCCTTCGTTGTGTTGAATCCGCATTAGTTTTACCGGTGCTGACTTGACAGGAGATGTAACAGCTTCTGAAAGCTCAAAACTGGTGACATCACTCCACGTTACAGGATCCTATGAGGCAAGATGCAAAACACTCAAAGGCTAGCAGGCTTATCCAAGATTATTTCACAGTGCCCGAGCCAACCTAACAGCTCTCCACCTCCAGAAGCCATATACCTAATTCTTCTCCCTGTCTCTTTCACACAATCCTGTATCACTGAATACTTTAAACCACAATACTTATAAACAGTCAATAAAACAAATCAGTGTGTGTGAAACTACAGACAAATACAGAATAAGGTAATCTTAAGAGTATTTTACACATATGGTAAAAGTTGATGTTCCTAAGCAAACATTGGTTTAGAATTACGGATTTACAAACTTACAGATTCAATAAGCTCTAGTGTCTCTGCAAATTCTGGAATGGTTTGTAGAGATGATAATATTGTATTTGCTTCCACAGCCAAAAACTTATGTGGTGAATTTGGCTGAACAGGTGTGACATGGGTCTCATCCATGCTGTAGAAACCGCTTGTTGGCTCCCCAAGGCTAGTGAGTGTATTAGACACACAGTCTTCTGTGACAAAATTTTCAGACCAACAAGGTAAGTTTCCAGCTTGCTAAAAAGTATAAAGAAACATGTTAGCCTTCTTCAGCTTAGATACTGAAAAGAGTCAATTATGTGACTGCGGGGAAGAAAAAAAAGTAGTATGTGGAAAGACTAAGCACAACTATTAATTGTTGCTTTTTCAAACACCATCTGTTTGCATTAATGCAGTTAGTCTTCTCCTTACATTAACATACTCAACATTCTCAAATTGTGTAAGATTTTTATCTTACCTCTCATTCATATCTTATACATGCTTATAACTTAGATAATTATGGGTTGTATTGGAAGCCATCTCTGATGCCACTTTCCTGTGTTCCTGTACATCAGTATATTACGAAGTCATCTTCACTACATAACACAGGTACATTTTAGGATTAGAAATTGTTTCTAGAATGTAAAATACTTCTTGTTTGATCCAAGTTTGTTAATGGAGATTCTGCATTAATAGTTTAACTTCTACAAGGTTATCCCATTTTAGTACACTGCTTAGTACTCAAGAAACAGATTTTAATTTTCACTGGAGGTATAGAAACAAGGCAGATTCCACTAGATCAGCAGAACGTTGTGCCGTTTCAAGAGAATGCCAGGAAAAGCTCCACCACATAATACTGGAAATTCACCTGTAATCTAAATTAGTGATCAATATGGTTGGGTTGCTTAGGGGTCTGATGTTGGTTTAAATCTAAATCACCTAAATTGTTCTAAACATCTATTCTCGTCTCTAAACTGGAGAGACATGGATTTGATGGATGGACTGCTCAGTGGATAAAGCACTGGCTGGATGGTCGCACTCAGAGTGGTGGTCAATGGCTCAGTGCCTGAGTGGAGACTGGTAATGAGCGGCGTTCCTCAGGGGTGGGTGTTGGGACCTGTACTATTTAACATCTTTGTTAGTGACAGGGATGATGGCTCCCTCAGCAAGTTTTCTGATGACACCAAACTGTGTGGTGCGGTTGACATGCTGGAGGGAAGGGATGCCATCCAGAGGGACCTGGACAGGCTGGAGAGGTGGGCCACTGCCAACCTCATGGAGTTCAACAAGGCCCTGCAAGGGCAAGGTCCTGCACCTGGAT